AAAGGCGAAAAGATAGCAGCAAACTTGTACATGCTGAAGGGAGAAACTTTGTTAGAAGCAGAAGCCTCTGTTGCCTCATGTAGTTCAGATTCTGCAATGCTATGGCATCAGAAACTTGGACACATGTCAGAACAAGGAATGAAAGTCCTTGTGGAGCAAAAGCTACTTCCCAGCTTAACAAATGTATCACTTCCTTTGTGTGAGCATTATATAAAAAATAAGCAGCACCGGTTTAAATTTAACACATCAAATTCTAGAGGCAAAAGTGTTCTAGAATTGGTTCACTCTGACGTATGGCAAGCACCAGTTACATCCCTAGGTGGATCAAAATACTTTGTCTCTTTATTGATGACGACTCCAGGAGATGTTGGGTGTACCCTATTAAGAGAAGTCAGATGTGTTTCAACTTTCAAAAACTTCAAAGCACGGGTGGAACTTGATTCTGGAAATAAGATCAAGTGTTTCAGAACAGATAATGGAGGAGAATACACAAGCGAAGAATTTGATGACTTTTGCAGGAAAGAAGGCATTAAAAGACAGTTCACAGTAGCGAACACTCCTCATGGGTGTACCCTATTAAGAGAAGTCAGATGTGTTTCAACTTTCAAAAACTTCAAAGCACGGGTGGAACTTGATTCTGGAAATAAGATCAAGTGTTTCAGAACAGATAATGGAGGAGAATACACAAGCGAAGAATTTGATGACTTTTGCAGGAAAGAAGGCATTAAAAGACAGTTCACAGTAGCGAACCCCTCAACAAAATGGAGTGGCAGAGCGGATGAACAGAACCTTGTTAGAAAAAACAAGAGCAATGTTGAGGAATGCAGGCCTAGAAAAATTATTCTGGGCAGAAGCAGTCAATATCGTATGTTATTTGGTGAATCGAGCTCCATCAACTGTAATAGAGCTGAAGACACCAATGGAGATGTGGACTGGTAAACCAGCTGATTATTCAAACCTCCATGTATTTGAAAGTATTGTGTACGTGATGTACAACTCCCAAGAAATTTCGAAGTTGGATCCAAAATCCAGGAAATGCAAATTCTTGGGGTATGCTGATGGAGTAAAGGGGTATCGCTTGTGGGATCCCACTGCCCGCAAAGTGATCATTAGCAGGGATGTTATCTTTGTAGAAGATAAACTACAAAGAAAAGAAAACGATGCTAGCGCTGAAAAGTCAGAGACTACTCATATACATGTGGAAAAGGAGGTTGAACAAGGAGATTCTTCTGAAGCAGAACCAGTTCATGATGAACAAGAACTAGAGAGTTCTGAAGCTCCAATAACTCGTCAATCAGATCGTGTGAGAAGACGTCCCAATTGGAACTCAGATTATGTTAGAAGGTAATTATCATATGCCTTTTAACAGAGGACGGTGAGCCATCAACATACCAGGAGGCAATAAACACCTCATGCTTCGTTATGGATGATGGCGATGCAAGAAGAAATCGAAGCCCTTCATAAAAATATACTGGGACCTTGTGCCACTACCACAAGGAAGGAAGCCAATGGTAACAAATGGGTCTTCAAAATCAAGCGAAATGTGATGATCAAGTGGAGAGGTATCGTGCAGACTGGTGGTCAAAGGATATGCTCAAAAAGAAGGTATTGATTTCAATGAAATATTTTCTCCTGTGGTTCGACTAACAACAGTTCGAGTTGCAATGTGCTACATTGAATTTACATCTAGAGAAGCTAGATGTTAAAACAGTTTTTCTTCATGGAAATCTTGAAGAAGAAATTTACATGCTCCAACCTGAAGGTTTTGAAGAAAAAGAAAAGAAGAACTTAGTTTACAGGTTGAACAAATCTCTGTACGGTCTAAAGCAGGCGCCGAGGTGTTGGTATAAGAGATTGATTCCTTCATTATGTGCCTTGGATATAACAGACTTAATGCAGACCCTTGTGCTTAATTCAAGAGGTCTGGTGATAACGATTTGTTATATTCTGTTGATGTGGATGACATGTTGGTTGCAGGACCCAACAAAGATCATATTGACGAATTGAAGGCACTGGCTAGGAATTTGAAATGAAGGACTTGGGATCAGCAAACAATATTCTAGGGATGCAAATTCACCGATACAGAAGTAATAGGAAGATTTGGCTTTCACAAAAGAATTACTTGAAGAAGATCTTGTCACGATTCAACATGCAAGATTGTAAGCCAATTTCTACCCCTCTTCCTATTAACTTCAAATTATCCTCCAGTATGAGTCCTAGCAGTGAAGAAGAGAGGATGGAGATGTCTCGAGTATCGTATGCATCAGCAGTGTGAAGTTTAATGTTCGCTATGATATGCACAAGACCAGACATTGCACAAGCAGTGGGAGTGGTTAGTCGGTACATGGCGAATCCAGGCAAAGAGCATTGGAATATTGTGAAGAGGATCCTGAGATATATCAAAGGGACATCAAATGTTGCATTATGTTACGGAGGATCAAACTTACTAATCAATGGGCATGTAGATTCTGACTATGCAGAGGATTTGGATAAAAGCAAATCTACTACAGGATATGTTTTCAAAGTTGCTGGTGGAGCTGTAAGCTGGGTTTCAAAATTGCAGTCAGTTATGGATACATCCACAACAGAGGCAGAATATGTAGCAGCTACACAGGCCAGTAAAGAAGCAATTTGGTTGAAGATGCTATTGGAGGAGCTTGGGCACAATCAAGAGCATGTTTAATACCACTTCATTCGTGAAAAGGTGGAAGAAGGAACAGTAGATATGCAGAAGATCCATACCAAAGACAACATAGCAGATTTCATGACGAATGCGATCAACGCTGATAAATTTAACTGGTGTCGATCCTCCTGTGGCCTGTCAGAAACATAAGCCCATGAAGGTACAAGGTAGAAGAATGGTGTGAAGATATGATTGTTCCAATCAAATCTTCAAGTGGGAGATTGTTGAAATTTCCACAAGACAAGGTAGGCACCGAATGGTGCAATTTTCAAAGGCAGCTGGAAAAATGGTTTGGGCAATTAATATTGTCAAATTTAGGTAACCAAATTGTTGAAAATAAATGGTAAAAGCTTAAATTTAGTCATTGTAATTTAGGGTATTTACAAATTAGTCCTTAAGACTTCAATTATAAATATCCTAGCTCATTTAGCTTCAAAACCATCCCCAAAGCATTCTAGCTTTCTTCCAATACTAGAGAATTTAGAGAGTTTCTTGAGAGTTATTTTTCTCCTTTTTATCAAGAGAGAATTATCATTGTTTTCTCCTTGGTAGATAGAGAGAAGTTGTAATTCCTATTTTCTCATAGTGAAATTCTTCTACCGTTGCCCGTGGTTTTTACCCTATATTATTTAGGGGTTTCCCACGTAAATTCTGTGTCTCTTTTATTTTCTCAAATTATCAGTTGTGATTTTGTTCTATCCGATAGCCGTCTTCCGCAACAGAAGCCTCCCTCGGATTCTTGGTATTGCTTAAATGTAGATGCCGCTGTTGCTACTCTTTGAGGTTTCAACTCTATTGGCGGTGTCATTCGCACTAGTGATGGCTCTTGGCTTGCTGGGTTCCATAGAGCTATCGGTATTGTCTCTCCCCTTCAAGCAAAGATTTGGGGAATCTATGTGGGGTTGCAGCTAGCATGAGATCTTGGTCTTGAATTGCTACAGATACAATCAGATAGTTTGCAGGTTGTTAAGCTCCTCAATGATCCGGGGGCTGTTCACCATTTCCCTTGTTCGTGCTGTCTTTGCTTCGTGATCGTAGCTGGTTTTTGGAGTTCTGTTGGGTTCCTCGTGAAGGGAACATGGTTGCGGATGGAATGTCTAAGCTCGAGCTCCCTAGTGATTACATGCTTCGCTTGTTTAATTCTCCACTAGTATCCATAAAACCTCTTGTTGATAGGGATGTTCAAGGACTGCCCTATGTAAAGCTCTCTGTAGCTGTCTAGGATTCTGCATCACCTTCATTCCAAAAAATAAAAGAAATAAAAAAGCATTTTAAGAAAATTATTTTAAGGATATATTTGAATAAAAACATGATTTTCATAGGTTTATTAATTTTTAGTTAAAGTCCACCAAATCAAATTGTGCGTCGATTAATGTTAAGGAAATGATAAGGTTGATAGATTACAACGAAACCAATTAATACTCTTGTTTGTACCCAATATTCCAATATAATACCCTATTGTTTTATCAAATAAATTTAAACTCCTAAAAAATATAAATTCAAATTTACATATTGAGTTCACCAAATGATTTTAGTGAGTAAAGAGAATGTTGTTTTCTTCATAGATTTTGGGTTTAAACACTATGTCTATGGGTATGTGTTATCAATAGCTAAGAAAGATTATGAATATATAATATTTTACGATCACACCCTAGACTATTAAGAAAACTTCACGTATTTAAAAACTTATGGTAAAATACACAAATTGTCTCTCGATTATAAGACGTTGTTTTGTTGAGTCTCTCACTATTAAGTTAAAAATAATCCGATTATAGGGTGTTAACGTCCAACTCAAACTATCGTTAGTTTTTTAATAGAAAATGAAGAGTTTGAATTATATGAATAGTCAAGTGATCTTTTATTGAATTATATGATAGTCAAGTAATCATTTTATCACTTTAATAATCAAGAAACTCAATCAAGCAATGCCTTATAGTCAATTGGATCATCTTGTAACTTTTAATAATTGAATGACTCAATAAAACAACGCTCTATAATCGGGAGATCATTTGTGTATTTTACCCACAAATATAATGATAAACATAGAAAATATACATTTAAATATGCTAGTATGTTTAGGGATGGACCCAGAGACTAACGAAAATAGTGTCTTTCTTTAAATATTAAATTTTCATATAATTTAATTTTTAATATTATTAATATTATCACTTATAATCATCTTAAATTAATAAAAAATATTTTCATCTTTTAAAAATTATAAAATAAATCTCTAAAATTTTATAAATCCATTGCTTAATATAAATAATATAGCAATCTCCACCAACAATACTCGTACATTTATTCCATTAAAGGTGAACACATATGAACTTTGCACAATATCCAAGAGAATGAGTCAAATATCATCTTAGTAATGAATTACAGTGACGTTAAATTGAATAATGACGGTGGTGGCATTTAACACGTAAGGGTTAAGTAGTGCAAACCCTTTTGCCATCCTAAATTTCCTCTTCCTCCTACCACCGCAATCTCACGTTCCGCCATTATTAGCGGATTCCTTGAAAATATGCTTATAGAGCTGCCGTTAAACTCACCCGTAGTAAACCCGAAATCCATGTACATCACTGCGGTCCTTGAATTTATTCCGGCAACGACGGCAAGTCCCTGAGCGTTTCCAATCACCTCCGAGTTAGGCTCAGGTCCTGTCTGGAGGAGATCATCGACGGCATATAAGGTACCGAACGGGACGGTTGAGTTGTTGCTTGTGGTGTTAGCTTGGGCTATTACCACTCCTGTAGCGTTTTGACCGCCGACAGATTCATGCAAAAAGAAGTGAAGATTGGTGAGCTTCTCCGCCTTGGGATCATATGGTCTTCTCTCCGAGTAGTATTGGCTCTGCACTGATGATGCCTTGCAGATGCAGACGATGAGAATCCATGTCCATATCGAAGTTGCTTTCATCGCCAATTGCTCGGGTGGAATCCTAGTTGAATGCTTGCAGAATTACTTCGTCTTTGTTAAGAGAAGAGAAATTTTATAATGAGATTCAACCTTTAGATGCGTAAATAATTTATTCCAGTCGACTTTTCCTTGGTAATATTCTAATCAAAAGTCGTTCATGATCACGTCAGTGAAACGTGGTCAACTTTGTTGATTGATTTTTTAAACAGGAATGCATATGATTTTTTAAGTTAAACTACACGTATAATCTCTCGATTGTGGATCATTTTTTCATATTGCGTTCTTTTATTGGGTAAATTATACCATTGACAACTTAATTATTATCTCTTTTTATTTTGACCATTATTTTTTGAAAATTTTCAATCAGGTATTCAACTATTTAAATGCATTCAATCAAATAATTTGCCGTTAACATTCGATGAAAATGTTTATGTGACAGTTAATAAAATTTGAATAATTACACATTGGGTCACTCTTTATTTATATATTTTATCAATTTGATCCTAATTTTAATAAATTACAATAAATATTAAGTCCAAATTGGTATAATTACACATTCGATATACTTTTATTAAAATTATGACCAAATTGATAGAATATATAAGTAAAAGTAACTGAATGTATAATTATACCAATTTTATTAACTGTCATGTCAGCAGTTCCGTCAAATGTTAACGACATGTGGCTTGATTGAATGCATTTAAATAGATGGGTAACTTGATTGATAAAATTTCAAAAAATGATGGTTAAAATTAAAAGAGACAATAGTTAGGTAGCCACTGATATAGTTTACCCTATTTTATTTTAGGGTAAACTACATGTTTGTTCTATTTTAGTACCTAAATTTAATTTTTTTTTCAAAATCATACCTAGGTTTTTGGTAACCACCGTTAAAACCTTAATAGAACTATTGTACCGTGAAATTTTTTATTGATAAATTACATCATTTATCATTCAATTATCTTTTCACTCCTATTCTGGTCACTAAAGTTTAAAAATTTTCAATTTAACTACTAAACTTTCAAATTGCTCCTATTTTAATCACTCTAATTTATTTTATTAATATTTTGGGACATGACATTTTTTATTTTAATTATATATTAATAAAATAATAATTAAAATATGCCATATCATATAGAATATTAATAAAATAAGTTAGAGTGATTAAAATAAAAGTAATTTGAAAGTTGAGTGATTAAATTAAACTTCAGTGACCAAAATGAGAGCAATAAGATAATTCAGTGATGAATGATGCAATTTACCCATAATATATCACGAACAATAACTCCGTTAAGTTTTTAACGGTGGGGTGCCAAAATTAAATCTAAACTTAATGTTAAGTATGATTTTGAAAGAACATAAAGTTTATGTATTAAAATGGGATAAAAATAATATTTTAGATACTAAACTTATAGTTTACCCTTTTTTTGACATTTTTTTTTTTGCCTCTGGTTGTAAGACAATTTTCTGTCGTATGTTCTGATTATAAAATATTATAAAATAATTATTTGAGCTAATACTAAAACTAAGAAATCTCTTCAAAACTTTATTTTCAATCTTCCTTTTTCTCACATCTCTTTACTTTTTCTCTTTAAGTAAAACCCAAAATTTGACGGAAAATCACCAAATTGATTGCCACTTGTCGTAGTTAGACTCTGTTTTGACCATCAGATATGGTGTGTAACACCTAATATCTGACTTAATCGAAATTCAAAATTTTGCAGAAACAAACAATATTCATGTGTATCAATTATTAAGGGACTAAATACTAACATTTCATACAATAAACGCGTACAAATAATATTAAACATAAATTTTTTGTATAATTAAACAAATAAATTTTAAATATTATTAATAATAAAAAATTCGAATTCCATGATCACTAATCGGATCTGCCACTATTTTCGTAAAATATTTTATTACAAACAATAACTGAAAAAAAGGAAACAAAAATCTAAACTTACTGATGTATGACGGTGACATCGCACTCCACAATGGCATCGCCAGTGTTGAAATCTGCGGAGTAAGTTTTAAGCCGTACGAATCCTTTCGCCATCCTAAATTTACCTTTAAACCCTACGTCCCAGTAAACCACTAAAGTCAACACATCTTGACTGGTGGAAGCCCAGATGCCTTGAGAGTTCCCAATGACCCCCGACGTTAAGTTATGACGAGGGTGACGGGATCGTCGGTGGCAAAAACACTGCCGAACGGTATCGGTGTGTTGTCGAAGGCAATGACGAAGGTTGGACGAGCAACCGAGATAGCAGTAGGGTTTTACCATGATTGTATCATGAAAAGAAATGGAGTTTGGTGAGCTTCTCTCTCGGTGGAACATATGGCTTGCTCTGGGAGTAGTAACACTGGCAAGGTATGGCTGTGCAGAGCGCCAAAGTCAAAATCAATCTTATTCCATTGCTTTTCTGTTGAGAATCTCAAGGGAATTGGAACTTTTATGCTTAATTTAAAAGAACCCTCATATGCTTAATTTTAAAGGCTATTATGAATTAGCCTGGCAAAAGAATATTAGCGCATAGTGCGGTGCACGTCCACCGCACTTCATATGTATTTTAACATTTGTAATTTTAGGGACTTCAAATGATATTCGAAAGGTTTGAAAAAATAATCCTCTTTCTTCCGACCAGTCAAATCTAGGTGGTCGAATGGATCAATCTCCATATAATTTAGGTATTTTTTATATTTTTGATGATGTAAATTCATACTCCTTACATTACTAAATATAACTTCTTACATTTGTGTACCTATCGGTTTTCACCTATGTGGTTTCTATATACTGTTTGAGTTGTATGGTCCATGGTGTTGTAATGGGGGTCGGTGGGGATTAAACATGCATGGGTAACAGTGGCCAAGTTCATTACATTATTTTGGAAAATGGTTAAATTTAGTTCAATATGTTAAGAAAAAAAGAAAAAAAATTACAATTTTGTATATCCATTATTTTAAGAAAAGAAAATTAAAATTTTAGACCTCTATTCTTAAATTATAGATCCGCCTTATGGGTGATCATGCCACATTCGACCAAGAGTTGATTGTTCCATGCTATGATGCTCCTTTTATGGACATCTCTAAAAGTAGATGGATGCTTGTTTGTGGTGTAACTTTGTGCATTTTATGGTTGACGAGAAACGAATTTGACTTTGAGAATAAAGAAAAAATGGAATGGCCCGGTATGTTTTGGATCAAATTCCTGAAGATTCGAATTAATGTTGTTGTTGAGGCCTGTTGGCTGGTTGTCCCCAAAACTTGTGATGTCTGTTTTTTTCCGTACTGCAAAAAATGTAATATATTTATAAGAAAAACCAAGAAAATGGCATAAAAATGCCGAAATGGCAATACATAAGGGAGATACCACACCATGCTCAAAACATCATAGAGCCTCCCACTTTCTTCACAAAAACACACCATCACCTAGAAAATCTATAATAAACAACAAAAACAATGAATACACCATGAAAAACAGAGTTGGATTCAGCTTTAACCCACATATATGGCCAAAAAGAAGTGGCACAAACAGGACAGACAACGCCCAAATAGGCACTCTACACTTCCACGCTCCCAACAACACCCACAACAGCAGTTGTATTAATCTTATCAATCAAAAGTGGTGGATCCAGAAATTTAAGAATTATGTCTAAAATTTTAATTTTTTTTTAACTGATAGGTATGTAATTTTTTTTTCCTTTTCCCTTAAGACGTTAACTAAACTTAATTCTATCGGATTGAGATGCTTTCCAAATTCAAAAGCGATGATCAAGATCTATTGCCATTAATGGAAGTGATAAGTCAATAAACCAATTGAATGTTCGTGAAAATGAAAATATTACCTATCATTATCAATAGTGGCTGAATCTGAAAGAAGACAAGGCAATATTACAATCAAATATAGTACTTATGAAGAATTGCTTTACTCCAAATCTTAAAGGATAGAGAAAGCAACATCATACCCAAAAGGAGGTCTAAATAACCAAACTCATGAGTCGTGGTAAATTAATGATTGTGCCAACACCAGGGCAGGATCGGTTCGAAAGAAGATGATCGACGGGAGAAGATCAAGATATAATTACATGTGAAACTTTAATATTAAGTGTTATGATTTAAAAACAATGACTGAACCAAACGTGTGAGTCAAAAAAGAGAAAAGAGAAACAGTACTCTCACAAGTTTATTAATAAGTCTGCAATATCTCAAAATAGACCAGACACTACATATACAAGGCAAGTTCATGAGTCAGTTGGTGTCTAACAAATTCCTAACCACCTAAGTGTGTCACAACAACTGAGTGCTAATGATACAATACTCACAATCTATCATGTATTCATTAGAATCCTAATACAAAACTCGTAACATTAAGCACGTAATAATTATTCGGTATTATGTGTGAACAATAAATCGATCCCAACTTTAATTGTTATACCGAGATATCACTTAAAATTTAATATTATATCCAAACATAAAATACTAAGAGTAAGTGGTATCTAAAGTATGTTATTTGGGGATGATTTTGACGAGAAAAATACGTATAATTTATTTGTTTATACATACTTAAAATCTAAAGGTTGAAGATGAAAATACGTATCCGCTTGAAGTTTAATTTAAACAATAATGATGTCCGCTGCTGATAGAATGTACTTAAACTCTTAGGTATCACAAAACTAAGATCAAACCTTTATAACAGCAAAATGAATTAAACTTTACATAATTTTTAAAATAGTGTCGAATTGTTATATTATTAAAGACTATTTTGGTTAACTTGGGAACTTGCAAGTTCTTATCAAAACTACATTATTTTGATAAATTTTCTATAATCTTTGAACTTCTTTTATCCAAATTAATATTAAATTTTGATTTTTTATTTCATCATTCAATTTAAATTTCAACCTAAATTATTTTGTCTAACAAACTGTCATTTGGCAAGCAGAAAAAAGTAATTCTGTTACACTTTAATTATTAGTAAAATTTTAGTTCCTCGATCATGGGATTACAATGTTATGTACTAACAAATGTCATCA